CAAATCAAACTCCCTGGGAAAATATATTTTACAAGAAAATTGTGTGTTGTGCTCCTGAAATGTTATGTCTATTTCCGAATTATGCTTCGGATTCTTGCGTTCTTCATCATTGCAGTGTGATGAGCTATTTGAGTTTGTATGACTGTTATGCACTTTTGGTATATTTTCTTTCACATTTTCATCACGCTCTTGATAAATATACACTGATCCGCTGATTTTTAGAAATTAGACAACCAAAATATATATAGGTAATAAATAAAAATTTACAAATAATTCTTCTAATACAAGTACATTACCTTTCTTGTGACTTTCTCTTAGTATTTGGACTTGATTGATTTCCCGTGCCACAATTTCCACCTGTTGCAATATTGGCCTCTGAGTCATTGTTTTCATATATCAAACCATTTGAATTGTTAATTAACCGAAGGTAATCAGAAGAAGTTAGGGAATATGCAATTACAGAACTTAAATCTTGTTCATGAACTAGTATTGGAAACGCTCCTAAGGGTAATACATAATGTTCTTGAGAAGTAAATGGTGATTCCAAATTTGAAGCATGCGGTACTGAAGGCAATAGTTGACTTAAAATTTGTTTAATTGTTTTTTTATCAGAGGATGCCGTGGATATTGCCAACTGATCTACTAAATTTTTCTTGTCAACACTTGACTGATTAGTATTATTGTCTGCGTCGTTATTATCACCTAATTGTGATAATTTCTCACAGCCTATTTCAGTAGGAGGTATGCTGACATCAGGAATGGTTGGCGAAATATCTAATTGATTTGGTCGTAAATCTTCTGTGCAAATGGTGCTTGCATCTATATTCTGTTGTTTCGTCGCCGATTTTTGAGCAATTGTTATTTCTTGTAAACGTGGGTCCCATAAATCTATGCTTTCTGCCAATATGCGTTTTGACATAAGTAAAGAGTCATTAATATCGTGAGCATTAGCTTTGGGATCTGTAAGTAGTGTTTGTACAATCTCCACTTGTTGTTTGAATTTAAATTGATCCTTACTAAGCTCAGTTTTAAAGATTGCTACTAGCGGCGAATTTTCATCGTCAATAGCTAAGTCAGCAATGCGTTCGTGAATTCTGGTATATATTTCATGACCTTTCATTGAAAAACCTTTTATTTCTTCAAGCGTTTTAAAATGGTCAAAATTTCTTGGGTATGTTACATTCATTAATAGTGCAGGAAGTCCGATTTCCCAGGCTTCAATGGAAGTATACTGAAATTTTGCACATACTCCTCGATAGCTGAAGCAATGAATATAATCTCGATGAATAGAATGTTCACATTTGGGACTTAACTCCAAGTCTTCATTATTTGACTCTAGTGGTCGTTTTTTGTACGCGTGACCATGAAAACGCAACTCCAAATATTTCGCAAAAGATAAGTATTTAGTATTATCAGATAATGGAACATTTGGTGTTACTTCTTTACATTTTGTACACCAAGCAGAAAAATATATACGATTTGGATCAGTTTTCATACTATCTTCAGTAAGAAATACCTCTACAGATCCCATGGAATGTACATATCTATAATTTATATTCTTAATAATTTATTTAATAATTATTATTTGTTCTCAATTACCTTCTCACATGACCCAAATCAGGTAAGTTACAACGAGTACATATGGAAGAGAAATGAGAACAATAGCGCTCTAGAAATTGTCCCAACATTATGTCCTGCTGACCATAAAATTTCATATGAAGTAATATTGGAGGTGTACAAAAAGACGAAACAGCTTTGGGATTAAAATAGAACATACAAAAAAGCACAGGCAAGCGTTGATGATTTTGTAACTCCAAAGCATCTTTGTACACATGATCATCGCTAATTTTTTGCGGACATTGGTAAGATTCTCGACGCTTTAGTAACTTAAATTCTAGAAGATTGCTATTTTGTACTTTTTTCTTTTTTAAATAATATATGAATTATGAATTATAACTTACTTTTTTTCTTAATAGGATATCGACTTCCATTAGCTCGAAATTCTGCCAATAAAGTTTGTATTTTACGATTTTCTATTGGTGCTGTTATCTTCATTTCCAAAAATGGATGCGGTGGTTTTATTAGCGATTCACTACACATTTTGAAAGTTTCTGTGTTTTCCGACAGATTAAAATTATTATTATTGCAGTTACTAGCACAGTTAGTTGACCACAGTTTTGAGAAATATAGTTCTGTTGGAAAGAGTGAACGTAATGAACAATTCCTACCTTGTTCAGTTTCAAGATACGGTAATGGAAAGGTAAGAAAAGGACTAACAGACAGGGTTGTTGAACTTAAACCATTGCGGAACCGATTATCGTAACGTGTTTCAACAGCTAGTTCACCAACCGAATTATCTGGTGAGGCTTTATCTGATATAATGGCCGTAGAACGTAAGGGATCAGTGAAATCCGAAACATTTTCTGTTACAACTGTAATTATTTTGTCTTCTGATTTTCGCTCTTTAATCTGTTTTGATATTCCAGAACGCAATTGTGGTTCATCATCTTTCATAATACAAGTGTTAGCATTTTCATCTTCTGGAGTTGGTTCTTTTGAATCGAAAATAGGTGGCTTGGGTGTCAAAGGCTGAGCATATTCATCAAGCAAAAATGACATTTCTAGACGCCAATTATATCTATTCCAATATAAATAAAGCACATATATATTAAACAAATCATTTAAAATATGAATTTAATTACCTCGCATAAACCAAAAATGAGGCGACCTTTTTTACTAACGCTAGTTCTTTGTTGTTGCCACCGCGTAGTAAGCAAGTATATCCACGTGGGCACTTTAATTTTTCAAAGAACATTAGAGTTTTACTTGTACCACTGCCATCACTATAACTATTTATGTAGAAGGCATCGCAAAGTCCCAACTTTGGTTTTGTTATATTTGATTCTATAGATGGAACTATATCACATTGCAGAGTTCGTGCCAAACGTTCCATTACTGAAAGTTTAACATCCAAAACCAAAGTAATATCTTTAGATCGTAATATATCTTGTGCAATGCCTGCCACATTTTTATGGACTAAAACTACATTTGGCTTAAAACTCATTATTCGTGCGCACATATTGCTAAGATATTCTTTTTCTTGCAATAATACTGTTGATATGCTAACAAACTTGCCCTCTATGCGCTCGTACACAATGGGGCATTGCAATAAAAGAATACGAGGTTGATCTACACGTGTAGCCATATCTTTATGTGCAACATTTTTAGAAAAAACAACTCCGCCAACAATTGTACATTCTTGTCTTTTACCCCCTGGTACTTTTTTAAAGTTAACATAATTCCGTATATCCATTAGATCGTTGCTACAGTATTCTGGTTTAAAATGATTTGCCGCACGACTACATAATGGTGTTAGTACCTCCATCCAACGCGAATCTAGTTTGTAAGTACGTAGCATTTGAGTTAGTAATTGCTCCTCATGATCACAATAGGATTCTATTAGTTTTGATGTTGTTGTTGTTGAACGCATTGAGTTTTCCAGCTCAATATCCTGCATACCATGAAAACTTTGAGAAACGTCAATTGATTTTATTGGTCGTGGTTCAGTATTCACCTCAAAATGTGGACTAGAAGCACTTGATATGTCAGAAAATTCTCCAAATGGCGCTAGTTCACTTTTTTGTCTATTTAAATTAAATTGTGAATGTGTTTTTATGTAAACAAAAGATAATAAACAAACCTTGTTGATGGTAAAAACTTATAATGAAGCTGTTCATCAAACTCCGATTGCTCAGAATCAGGTACAATAGGTTGAAGAAAGCCTGCTGCAAGCATAGCACTCAGTGTTGCAATTGACTGGCTTTTATTAGAAGATTTATTGTTAGCTATTAAGAATTCAATTAAATCAGCACCACAGTTTTGTGCTGGAAGCAGCCGATACATTTCCTCATGTAATGTTATTAGCGAATTACACTGTTGTAGTATGTTTTTACGGTCGTCGAAGGAAAGAATATTTGCTTGATTTATAGCTAAACGCTCTTCTTGATAACCAAATGAAGCTTTGCGAATTGTACCAGAATTAGTTGGCGAAACATTTAAAGTGGAGCTTTCCTCTGCATCTTCTAACTTATTCGAAAGATTTTGCTGTAATGCTTGCAAGTCAGAATGCAAATCGACTGCTATATTAGGTGATTTTAAGTAACTAAGTACTATTTTAGAACAATAATTGCAAACTTTCAGTTCACCTGTAAGTTTTGATTTAAACTGACCAATTACATAATACCATTGCAATACAACTAATTTACCTGAACATTTAATAATTTTCCCAGGTACTACTTGATTACAACACTTAGAACAGAAGATTTGTCCACATAATCTGCAGTGATGTTTACGGCGAAAAGTGGAAAACTTTTGTGTACAATCATAACATTCCTTCGCCTTGGAATCTGGCATCCAAAAACGCTGCAAATCGGTGTCTTTATAATTACGTAAATCCTACAAATATTTCAATTTGGTTACAAAGGTTAATAAGATGCATAATATCACTTAATAACTTACACTATTTTTTGAAGCAACTATATTACTTATTCGCTTTAAAACATTTACATAGGAACGACCTTCGTTTGATTCAATGGGCAACTTGCTTATTTTGGCAGAGCAATCATCAGTATTGCTACTACTAGTTGCAGAACTTGTACTGGGATCATTACTAACTTGTGAAGAAAGTTTTTTGGAAGTTTGTGGTATTGTTATATTCGAAGATGTAGTTACAGAAACGGGATTCTGGTTTGTTAAATTTGTAGTTTCTGTATTTGCAACATTCGAGTCCGCATAAAAAACAGACTTAGAGACTTGTACTGGTGTTGAGATTGGAGCTTCGTTAACAGTATTATAGCTTTGATTATATGCATTTTGTATTTTATTTACAAACCGCCCAAAAATCGTTTCAGGTTCATCTTCAAAGTCTCGAGCAAATTCTGTGAGTTTCGTGGGGGAATGTAGGTGTTGATTCATTTTAATTTTAATTTTTATTTTTATGATTTTTTGAATTAATTTAAATAGTTGTGAGATTTAATTGATCACATAATGAAGACTCTGGTGCCAAAGTTCCTAAGGCCAAATCGGTCCATTTTTGTTCCTTCAATAAGACAATAAAAATTAAGGCATTTAGCATGTAATGGCACACAAATGCAATATTTAATACCTGTTCACTTAAAGTTAAATGCGAATCACCACCATCTGCTTCTGGGTCAGGTAACTTTTCAGCTGGTACAATAATTTGATCGAAGGGTAATTCTTCTTCACGCCACTTATTATCAACTATGTCCAATAAGTAACCATCTGCTGGTGCCTGCAAAGAAACGAAAAAAAAAAATGACAAAAATTTGATTAAAACACTTTATTAAAATTTTAAAATTAAACTATAAATATATTTAACACAATTTTACAATATATTATCTTATTAAAATAGAACAAATAAAAAAAATTTACAATGATGATGAAAATGTTTTTTTTTTATTATAGAATAAATTAATTAATCAAATATCAAACTTATTTAAAGTTTATAAACGAAATTTAGATGTTTTCCTTTATAGGTATTTTGTATTTAAATATGGAAAGACCTGTAAGCTTTGATTAGAACTGAACATTGAATGTCCATTTTATATTATGTATGTAGGAATACTATATGTATATATGTAGGATTAAAATGAATTGTTTATTTAAATAAAAAATTGAAGTCATCGATACATTCGGCCTTTGTATATTATTTTAATTGTTTTCAAAATACGAAAACAAATTCCTCATTATTTCAAATAAATAGAAGAAATAATAAGAATTTGACTTAAATTTACATAAACTTAATTGAATATCTTGCAGTATTTCCATATCTTTTTTTATTTTAATTACTTCAACTAAGTAAAATTTGCGCAATACATCATTTTAGGAGAATAATTCAATATTTCAGTATACTGACAAAATATGATATAAAAATAATGGATATCTTTTTAATAATGTACGGGTCTCAAAATACAAATTTTAATATTTTGAGACAAATCTTAATATTTTCAAAATTATATTTTAGATCAGACTTTCTTTCTGCATTTCTATTCTCAGTGCTTGGAAATAAGGTATGGATTATGTTTTAAATTCAATAAATATTTGCAGAAGAAAAATAAGTGGTCGGCGTAGATTTGTCCAAGTGAGTTTCTTGACTAAGAAAATTTTAGAATCTGTTCCATGTACTTGAGTTTTTTTTACACTCAATATTGTGAAAGTAAAATTTTAATAAAAAATTCACATTTTTCTAATGTTTTCAAATATAAGCTGATAGAGATAATTGTTATTTTGACGTCACAAAGTGTTAATGATGAAAATAAATTTTATATTTTACTAATTGCCTATGTAAGTAATGTGAGAATTAGTTTCTCTGTTTACCTTTGTTCCCCCTTTTGACATACTTAAAAAAGTTTCTTTTTATGTTTTTTTTTTCAACTACGTTATTGCTAGAGAAAACTATAAAAATGTGATTTTTTTATCGTCAACAATATTTTGTCATATTTCTATTATTAAATCACCACTAATATTTTCTATCTTTTATCTAAAGGCATGCAAATTATTATTAAAAATAAGTTCCAAGCATGCAAACGATAAGATAGGTAGATATATAAATTTAAGTATTGATATTAGTTTTACAAAATAAACTCATTCTCAAATCATTTCTTAATATATAAAAATCATAAGCCTAATTAATAGTCTGATTTACTACGATTACGTTTTTAGATATTTAATTAAACCAATTAATCTTTTATTACTAGCGAAACTAAATATCTAATCGGTGGTAAATTACCTGACTGTCCATTACTTCCAAAATGAATAAACTAAGATTTTTCACAAAGTGCGTTTATGTGGTGAGCTTACAATATTTTTTTAATATGTGCTTTTCTATTTATTCCATTAAAAAAGTTTTGATTACCTCACTGCCAAATTACGTTTACGAATTAATCACTTTAATGTCCAAACCGATTATGTTAAATTTTACTTCACAGCTGTTCAAAGCGATTGTTTTGCCTAGTTCAGAAAGTGTTCGATTTCGAATTTCGAATATCTTTCGCACAGTGTTGTAAAACAGATATTTATAGTTTTACATCTAGTTTCGATTTAACAATGAAGTATATAACTCGACTTCTACAGTGGCTAAACTTTAGCAAGATATTTATGTTTGAGTCACATAGGAATTATTTTGTATGTTTTAGAAACAATATTTCTAAATTGGTTAAACTTTAGAAGGATTTTAAAGTTGCTTTTGTTTTTTCACAATTTTAACTTTTATTTCGATCATTGTTTTTAGTATATTTCTATATCTATTTCGACAAATTCGCTTTTGCCTTCATCAGGAAAATTCCTTATATTAAAAACATATATGCAATTTACAAACTATTTATACTTATTACAGTTATTATTTATTTAAAAAGATGTTTGTCTAACTCTTGATTAAAACACAAAATTTTATTTGCAGGCAATTTCGAAAATAATACGAATTTTGGTATTATTTTATACTAAATAAAGTATTTTGGTTTTTATTTTAAACAACTGTTGGTTAGTTTCTTAATACTAATTATAACACTAAAGGCCGTTTTAAATTCACCACGTAAGTTTCAATACTTAAGTCGTGCTTAAGTCATGAACATTGCTGACCTAATTCAGTTTGGAAACTTAAGTTACAATTGTGAAAACTGCTCCAGTAAGATTCAACATATATAAAGATTAATGAAATCAAATAATCATGAGTGGTCTGTCTGTCGGTAATGATATTGATATTAATTAGTTTGCTATGCTTACACTGTGTGATATTTCTGTCGAGATTTATATGACATTTTGCTTGAAATGGTGATTATATATCCGAACAAATCTGCTAATATTTCTACATTGTAAATTATGTTACAATGTCAAAAATATGGTAAATAAGTTAAATACTAATTAGTTACAAACATTGTTAATATTTATTTATTATTTAGGAGATTCTATTTAAGATATCAAAGCCTTACAAGGTATTTTCTGTGATTTGGTTTGATTGGATCCATAAAATATCCACCTTTGGTGATTATAAAATTTAATATATTTTATATTAATCAATTTAAAATAAAGATTTTATGACATTACATATGACGTATAATCTGAATGAACATAACTCATTCAGAGTATATGAGTTTAGGCAGTGTGCAAGTTCGAGTAAATTGATGGTAAATTGAGGGAAATAGTAAATTATGTTGGTATTTATCAGAATTTCGAGTAAGGAAAATTAGATAAAATAGCTATTACCATAATGAAAATTTTGTAAGATGTTTAATAAATAAATAAATTTAAAAACTTTCAACAGAAAAATAATATATAAGTGTAAACAACTGCAGTGCAAAAAATCGCTCTGAAATTAATTTTAATTCAATTTGTTCGAACTCGCACACGGCTTTAATTATTGAATACATGAACTATAAGTTGATAATTATATATAATTCAATTTATAATAGAATAAAAAAGAAAAATAAAAAAATAGACTTTGCATATTGTAATATATTACATCACACAATTCTGTTACTTAAATTAATAACAATATAGTAGATTGTTAATATAAATCAAGCTTATATAAATTTAAGCACAGTTGATCTGCTTAAACAAATATTAGTCGGTAACACAGTGCTGTGTCGTGTTTGTAAAGTTTATAAAGATGTAACTGCCATACAAACTCTACACTAGGTGGCACTGCAAACAATAGAAAAACAAATGATTTAAACGGAACAGTCTTGAAAAATAAAGCGTAGGTTACTTAGCACACATTGTGAATATTGTAAAAAAACCATAAAACATTTGAAGGCTCATTTGTGATGGTGGCTGTAATCAGCCGCAACAACCGCAGTGACAAATATATGTTAGAAATATTACATGTCACTAAATGTTCTTTAAGAACCCAAACGTCAACAATCCATTCCCCATTTTTCAATATCTCCTAAATAAAAATAATAAAAACACCACTAAGATACTAAATCTATATTATACTTGAAAAATATTATTATTATATTATTATTATTATTATTATAAATTCCAAACAACAAACTTCAATAGGAAAAAATTTAGTACTGCCATTAAAGAAAATCCAAACCGTTTCTCGGTCAAATAAAAGAAATGGATGCAAAGAATCCAATCCATGGACATTAAACAAACAAAACTACAAAATTACTGGCTTGGTCAAATAACAACCAACCATATTAATCGATTTTTGGCACAAGGAACAGAATATGATCCTGAAGAAATAATAGCCACCTATTTGCATTACAGACGTGACAAACATAATTTCCTCTCTGAATTTGTAGGCAATGATTACGAAATGAAGATAATGAACAGCGATGAGGTCAAAACTGCATAAACAGATTTAAAAATTTAAAAGCACCAATGAAATAAAATAAATACAATTTACAATTTTAAACTAAAAGTAACACAATTTTTAATGAAGACATAAACACTGAAATTAAAGCGTTACGCCCTACAGTAATCGATATTAGTAATATAAAATAAATAAGTATAATATAAATATATAAATAATATAAATAATAAATAAAAAATTCACACCATAATTTTGGGTGAACCCATAGCAAAGAGGTTATTTTGGGTGAACCTCCTTTAAATTACACTCGCGCAACAAGAGGAAGCAGTGCTGATATGTACTTTGTGAAGCGGATCTAAATAGTTCAGCAGACTCAAAAATTCAAATCAACAGACCCAAATAGTTTAGAAATCGTATCAAGAAGGTCCTAGTCCGAAGCAGCTCATAATGTCCAAATAGTTCTGATGTTCAAGAAGGAAATAGTAATACCATCAATCTTAATAAGACTTCCACAATTAGCCACAATCGTTAACTTTTTCAAATAACACTGGTTATTTTATACACTCGGTGTTTTTTACCAATACACACAAAATGCCTATGTACTGAGCACACCTGTTGTAGTGTAAACACCCAATCATTATTGTGAATTATTGTTAGATTACGTAAATTGTGAAGTGTAAACACAATATCCGTATTCACATTTATAGTTTTTGTAAATAAGTATTGCTCACTTTTGCTTAATAAAAACAACGTAAAGAGATTGACATTTGTCACTCTCGCAGACTTCTGCAATACTAAAAACTCACAGAATAATATTGGAAAGGCATGTGAAACACTGATCCGATCTTGGTGCTTACTTGAAACATCAGAATTAATTCACAATTTGCTTTTAGTTCTGCTATGTGCACTGATGTCAATTTAATAATTCGCTCTCCAATGATATCGCAAACTCAACCTATAACGCTGATAGCAGAATTATACAATTGTATATAATTGTATAATTCTGCAAGTCGTGAATACTCTAGAAAATAATGCAGAAATGAGACTTGCACGCCTTTGGACTGAATTAGTTCTGCTCTATGAAATGAGCAGATCCATTCTATCTAATGGAAAACGATGCATTCAGTTATTCCTGCCGAAGTGAAATAAGTATAAGAAATAATTGTATTATCTCATCTGATACAAACATTGAGCAATTGTATTGATTTTTTTTGTGTGTGAAGTATTTAGTGATCGGATTGAACTTATGTGGTTTGTCTTATTATATTGTCTTGCGTTGTGTACTTTGTCACAGCTACTTACTTTTTCTGCATTCTACCATTTACATTTCTACCTTCGCTACGTATACGAGAACTAGCTCAGCACTTACTCTACAGTTTCGACTGAATTGTGTTAATGTAAATAAGCTGAATAGATTTAATTTAATTAATTAATTTAAAATTAATTAACGTATTTTTCGATTAAAAGAAGTACAAATATAGTTCTTTTTTACTATTTCTACATAGAATTCGTATGAAAAATACGATTAATTGCTAAAAATGTAAGTTGCAACCGATAGTGTAGACGTCCTTAACTTTCTTGTCTACCGTACTTTAAAACGAATCGAGTATAGGTAAACCTAACAAAATAATTTTTTATAAATTCTGTTATGATAAATGCTACTTCAGTGATATAAGAAAAATGAGAATAATATATGACTATAGAAATGTATACATTTCATTCATAATCAGGGATATTTAATCCCTTTCTATATAAATTGTATATAACATTACACTTCTTTTCTTATTTTCAACATACAATTTTAAGATTCTGTATTTTAAATAATGGCTTTTTAAAAAGTCTTTAAACTTAATGAACAGATTATTTTATAGTTTTTATAGACGTACCGAAGTTTTAATTGACTTCCTTATGGCGAAGTACGAAAGTATAAAATTGATGCTATTTTTATTAGTATTAGAACTATTTATTTAGTTGTGAGTTAACCTTAAAATTAATTTTAATGTTAATGTTAACTTAGAATAAGGAAATGGACTGCTAAGTTCTTCGCTCAGAAAAACACCATCCGCTCCGTTAGAATCGGGAAGAAACGATGCCAAACAAGGTTTTAAAAATTATAATTAAATGTAATAATATAATAATAACTTATTTTTTTATATAAGGGCAATTTTAAAAATCGAATAAGTTCAGATTTCATAGTTGATTCAAAATGTTATTTTGTAGTCAACAGATCGACTGCAAGGTAGACGATATGAGAAGTGAAATTTTCAGTATAATCAAAAAAACTTGTAACCACTTTGACAACATTTAGATATTTAATAATACTATCTGTATAAGTTTGTTCTGTACCTATCCTAAATTCATTATCCTTACTAGAAGTTTAGACAAGATTTATGCTATTTTTGTATTTAAGTAATCAAGAAAGCAAATACTATGGAAAACGCTTTCTATATTCAAATATTAACATAATTGACATATGTCAATGTTTTTAAGATATATTACAATTCCATGTTGGATCTATCTCACTCATTATCCCCCTTGTTTTTCTACAAACAATCAAAAACAATATCAAGTTATTTGTAGAGAATTTCTGAATAGAAGTAAGTAAAAACGTGGCCAATAATGCTATAAATAAACTAAGCAATATAATTATTTTTAAAAGGGTTT